ACTCTGTTGGCCTAATAGTGTAGCCTAATAATAGGCCTAATGTCTTGACAGCAGCTAAATCTGGCAGCACTGTCTTGAATTACTAACACACTGTGAGATGGAGAGCTGCCCCCATCCCAAATATAACATCTTTCTATGTATTTATAAACCTGCAGGGAGCCAGAATAGCATATGTGTGCACTGAAAATGAATCAGGCTGATTGGTTGGGAATATTTAGACCTTGTTCCTCAGACAGTTACTATTTGTAGCATTCCATTACACCATAACAGAGCCATTTTAGTGGGCAAACAACAGGTGCTCTGAAACATTGTACAGGTGTAGGGCAGGGCAGGCACTATCAGCAGTGTGACAACAGATCCGGTATCTGTTTTGCTGAAGGAAAAACTTGAACCATCTTTTCAAAACTGTGCCATCACATAGGACAATGTATAACACACAGTTCAATCAAGTCGTTTTTGTATAATTCCAGATCGTGTTTTGTCTTGGGAAACAAACAGGAGCACGAACATGAAAACTTCACACAGAAAGAGATTTGAACCTACGACCTTCAAGCTGCGAGGCAACAGTGTTAGCCACTGAAACACCATGCGAACTAAAAACCATAGTGCACACTACAACTTTTCATTTGAAATTTTGGTATCAATGTCTGTAACCTCTCTAAGTGATTTAAAATGACAGTCTTGAAGTGTTTCATTTAAATAAATGTGTCCAACGTCACCATCTATTGCTAAACATAGTATAACATTTTGACTAAGTCTGTGAGCCAGTGATAAAATTATATTAAAGTCTATGCATTAACATTTTTAAAAACTGGGTATCTGTAGCGACATTACCGACACATGGTCCATCACCCAGTTATCTTTCTGGAAGAGAGGATGGGTGGAGCTAACACTGCAGACTCCCTTTCCAACCTACCTGTGAGCAAGTGCCATGCTGTTTTTTTCTCCTGCGGTTTATACCTCGTAGAAGTTATTTTCCCTTTTCGCTTTCATGTATGGTCTCAGACTACCGTGGAGGCATCACACAGGTGACACCATGTGGATGAGTAATGGGCAGTTAGTGTTGAAAGTGGAAACCTTAACTGAGACCATATTTTCACTGTCAGCTAGTCACATTCATTGACTGTATAAGAAGGATGGACGTAGCAACTGGCCCTGAAAATTGAAGCCAACCCGGAAGTGTGAAAAACCTGCAGTACCACTGCATCTGACAGGTGCTGGTTCCAAAAACCTCTGACTCCATAGACCCCAGTTCCACATAGCAAAACTCGAAATACAACTTTTCTACAGTTTTTTTTCATTGGTTTTCCTGGTCAAACTCAGAGATCAGGTGGCCAATCTGAAAAAAAGTCAATGTTGAATTTTATATAAACCTTCAAAGTTTTAGTCTCGTCATGGGACGTGGCTGCTTGATTGACAGTCTGTTCTGGAATGATTGACAGGTCGTAGAAATGAGGCAGCCTTGACACTCAGTGTCATCCTCGTTTGGATTTACTTCTGTAAGTCTGATTAAAAGTTAAATGTAGCGGCATTAAGCTAACAATGTTTGTGTTGTGTTTCATGTAATCAAGTTTCAGTGTGTTGTGTTGCTGTAATGTGGTACATTAAGTTAATAAAATAAAACGTTAGGGGAACTTAAATGTAAATGCAACAGTAGCGTTCACGTTCTACAATAGTCCTGAATATCTGCTGTGTCTCTGATGTTAAGCAGGAGAAAACTGTTCATCTACACTGGTACAGCTGATTGTTTAATGACTGATTCACGACTTCAGTTCATTTCAGTACATCTTACTGCAGTGCATAGCAGAATAATACACACCCAGAATATGACCAAAGTAGTAAATCTCTGCTATTGATGCTGATACTGTGATGTCTGTCTTCATCTTAAGTGTGTCTCATATTCACTGTGACCATCTTCTGAATGAAGCCAACTGAAGGAAGAGCTCATCTGGTGCCGTTCATGTGGTTGTGAAGGAGAAGACTGAAAGGACATCATCCTCAGTGAACCACTTCCTGTTTAGCTTTCACTTACAGAAGGACACATGATGGTTTCGTCATCATTTTTGGTTGTGAGGAAGAGATGGTGGACTGAGCACTTAAGTTAAAGACATTGAACTGCAAGAAGACTGCTCAAACTCACCCCCCAACAGTTCCATGTTAAAAAGTCAATATCCAAAACATTGCTTTGTAAATGTTGCAAGTCTAATAATAATACAAGAATTGGGAAATCTGTCACCATTTTTGAAGCAGTCTCTTCTGGTATGTTATCCTATATCTTGGGTTGTTGTTTTTTCAGAAAAAAATAATGCAAAATACATTTATTTTGTTCCTTTAAATAAGATAGAAACTGACAAAAAAGGAAACAAGTAGTGACAATCAAGCCTTTTACAGTGCGTTTTCAGATGGTATTTAAATAGATGATTAAACTACATGTTTTTCAGACAGCTCAGTAAGCGAAGTTGTAATAGACTTTTTTGGAAACCAGTTTAAGGCATGTGGTCACATTACATACCTTCATATCAGCCTAACATATCCATGTTTTGCCTGTCAGAACAAACACTTTCTGTTCAGCTGTGCCACTGCAAGAGTGTCAGCAGTGCTAGGAGCAATACAGAAATGAGTCAATGGATTAAACTGTCTTACTGCACGGAAGTGGAGTATTTGTTCGAGCACCAGTGGCTCGAAAGAATGCTGCTTATGAGAGTATTTTAAATAGTTCTCAGCCTCACCAGGGAACAAGGGGCCTAACTTCCATTTTGGAGCATAACTGTATACTGTGAAGTCTTATATCACTGTCCACTCAACTGAAATGTTTGAAGCAATAAAAGGAAAGGAAAGGAAAGCTTCGAGCTGGCTGCTGTTGCTCCAGGACAATGTGTTGTCCACAAAGCACAAGTGGCAGACGCAATCAAACATGACTTTGAACTGCTGCCCCATACACCACACACCCTGTGGAGCAGCTGTGGCTCAGGTTGTAAAGTGGGTTGTGCTCTAATCTCAAGGTTGGTGGTTCGATCCCCCCACACTGACCCTGAAGTTGCTTCCAATAGCAGGCAGTGCCTTGCATGGCAGCTCTGTTGCTCTGTTAGTGTGTGAATGGGTGAATGAGAAATCATTGTAAAGCACTTTGAGTACCATGAAGGTAGGAAAGTGTTATTTAAGTGCAAACCATTCACTATTATTTAAACCTTACTCACCTGCACCATCTGACTTATATCTGTTTCCCAAACTGAAAGATTTGATTTCCATCCATCCATCCATCCATCCATCCATCCATCCATCCATCCATCCATCAGGGTGGATGGATGGATGGATGGATGGATGGAAATTGTTCACAAGATCATGAATGAGATATAACGAGATTTAAACTGGACTTTGAGTTTATAACCTCACAAACACTAACATTTCATTTGTGTCCTGATATTGTCACACTTTTACACACAGAAACAGGTACATGAAAGTACAGGATTTTATTTGACCAAATCAGCAATCGTTTTAATACAAAAAAACCCACAATAATGCAGTGTTTGAACAAAGCAGAGTTCTTCAGTGCCTCTAGAGTTTGAGTTTGCCAGAAACAGAAAACTTTATGAGATGTGTCACAATCTTTAAGTAATGCAATACTAACTAATGTAGCTTTCAATGGCAGGCAGCTATGTACCAGGTGGAGACTTTAGAGAAACCACAAATCAACCATGCATTTCTTAAACAGTCAAGGTTGCTGTGAGTGAGGACATATGTAAAAAAAAACAAAAAAACAGATGAATAATGCTCTTCTTTTCGTAACACAGATATAACAAAGACATCTGCACTGTACACGCTCTGACCCCTACAATCACCACTCTCTATGACAGCATGATATAGTTTGAATGTATGATGTTATTGTGGTGATAATACCAATAACTGAGATTCAATACCCAAGTTAAAATCAAAACCTAAACTTAAGTGTAATACAGAAGTGTAATTCTGCTTCAAAATGGCAAGCACGTTGGATAACAATCAACGTGTCTTAGATAAGGTGGTGAGCTTGGAACAAAAGTCCATCACAACAGGGAAGCCACAAGACTATATTATTCTACTTTACTATAATTATTGTCTAGTGAGTGCTTAGCCTAACTGATAGATCTAGTGCTAGTCAGTCAGCCTCTTGTAATGTCACTATCACCAAGGGTATTTGTGGCTGTTCCATTCATGCTGACTCAGTTGTGGTGTTCTCAGTGTGTCTGCTATTTTAAACATTTGGAGCAGGTTAAAGTTTACAGGCTGTCAGAACAGTGGACAACCTCCCTCTTGATGCTTGGCTATCAATGAAATCCTGGAGAAAGTCTTGGAACAGCTTGCACACTGATACTTTTTGACTTCCGAGTGGGTTTGGAGGTGAGCTCGCAGGTTGGATCGGTCAGCAAAAGCTCGGCTGCAGTGGACGCATGAGAACGGTTTCTCTCCTACAGAAGGAACACATGAGATACAGCTCAGTCATAATAAAAAGGGACTGTGTTTTCCTGTTTTTGATATACAATGAACCCTGTGACCAGTCGGAAACAAACTCCAAATAATGAAAAAGTACCCCATTTAGAATGACACATTTCAAATTTGTACTACTGTGCCGCTCCTTCATGACCTTTGCTCTTGACCAGGTTGGACACAGGTCACTGTTTTTGCTGCCATGAACAGAAATTACTTACCAACCAACATTGTCCAACAAGACATGGAGACAGAAGAAGAGAGTGAGAAACAGAAGGATAGAGAGAGACATTAGTGTGCTTTTTAATGATGCTATAACTTATACTTAAGCATCCTGTCTCCTCTCTTGACCCCCAGAATGTACTACTTTACCAGGACAATAGTATGAACTCTCTACAGTAATGTGTATGTGCAGATTATGCAACCTAATGTACATGTATGCTATGAAATCTTCCAATAAGATCCCAATGAATTAAAAAAGCAATAAAATATCAACAACTACACGTTTGCGGATGTTTGCACCTGTCCGTGCCACCTGCACATTAGAGTACAATCAAGACTCAAAGATTCTTAACAAATACCACTGCTCCGTATGTACGTTAGAAGATAGAAAAAACAGAATACCTAATGATGATATGATAATTAAAGTGGACAAAAGTAATAATAGTACTAATTATTGGCTGTAAAACAATTGTTACTGAGGTAGCAACACGGATGGCTGCCTCAGTGTACTGGTGTGTTCTGTCTTGTTTTGTTGTACAACACCAGTGGATTTTTTTCCAACTTTTCTCGTTACATCAGTGGAAATGTTGGACATTGTGGTCAAAGATGCACTCATCTTTGCTCATGCAGTGAAACAACAGAGGAGAGATAAACACAGCAGTGCATCTCCTCAGGTGTGAACTCCGCACTGCGCTTACGGGGACATTTCTCTAACGTGCAGAAATATCAGCTGGCAGGCTTCCAACTCTCAACCTTCCAAACTTAGAAATCTCCAGTAAAAGTAAGGATGAAGGAATCGTTTTTTGCACAGTGTAATGACATAACAGTCTTGCAGGAATACTGCTGTCTAATTTAGAATCATTTTTTAATGAAACCTTTCAGCAGCCTGTGTGAGCTTGGTTCATTCATACTGGTTCGTGTTTGCATTTGACTAATATTTGAACATGCATTGAGGAGGTATGATAGGTAATACCACTCAGAAAGTGGTGGGCTAATAGAGAAATCTCAGTTTTTCCAACTCGTAGTGTTTCAAATAATTTTAACAAAACTGCTACCATAAACAATATCCATTATCTATACACCGCTTAATCCTCACTAGGGTCGTGGGGGGCTGGAGTCTATCCCAGCTGACTTAGGGCGAAGGCAGGGGACATCCTGGACAGGTCACCACTCTATCGAAGGGCTACACTTAGAGACAGACAACCAAGCACACTCACATTCACACCTACGGACAATTTAGAATCACCAATTAACCTCAACATGTTTTAGGACCTTGTGGGAGGAAGCCGGATCGGGACTCTGCTTTCAGGTCTGGGAATATGGAATTGTACAGCTCAGCCAGATCCAACCTGAAAAGAGGCATCAGACAAGCTAAGGCAGCATATGCCAAGAAGATCAAGGGACACTTTACAGAGGGGAACCCCTGACGTGTTTGGCAGGGCATCCGTGACCTCGTTAACATGAACACTTCTAATGCTGCTGCCACCACCAACACCAGCACAAGCCTAGCGGAGGAGCTAAATCAGTTCTTTGTTAGGTTTGAAGTACGTGAGGAAGAGGGTGGCCCCACGCTGCCACCCGCTGACAACCTGGCACTTACTGTGAGCACGGAGGAGGTCAGGCGGGTGCTCCGAAGTGTGAACCCATCGAAGGCTGTTGGTCCCGATGGTGTTCAGGGGAGGGTACTGAGGGGCTGTGCAGATCAGCTGGCAGAGGTTTTTACTACCATTTTTGACCTGTCACTGGATGCCTGCACAGTCCCTAGCTGCCTAAAATCTGCCAAAGACTAAGGAGTTGGTGCTGGACTTCAGGTGGAAGAGGGAGGACCTCCCCCCTCTTCTCATCCAGGGGACACCGTAGAGAGGGTCAGTGACTTCAAGTTCCTGGGAACATACATTTCTCAGGACCTTACATGGGGCACCAACACCAATGCCCTTGTGAAAAAGGCACAGCAGTGTCTGTACTTTTTAAGGTCACTGAGAAAGATCAACCTGTCCCAGGAGCTGCTGCTGTCCTTCTACAGGTGTTCTGTAGAGAGCATCCTCACCCACAACATCTTGGTGTGGTCCAGGAGCTGCTCTCAGGGTGACAAGAAGGCTCTGGAGAGACTCAGGAAGTCAGCACAGAGCATCCTAGGAGCACAGCTGTCCTCTCTGTCAGACATCTATGACACCAGATGTCTGTGCAGATCCAGAAGCATCACCTTTGATGGTTCACACCCTGGGCACAGCCTGTTCTCACTGCTGCCCTCAGGAAAGAGGTACCGCTCCATTAAGGCCCGCACATCCAGACTCACCAACACATTCTACCCAAGTGCAATAAGGGTACTGAACACACATATATTTATTATTTATATNCTGCTATAGTCTGTACTATTTATCATATATATTTATTATTTGTATTATGCTATACTGTATTATATTATAGTTATTTATAATTATTCTATATTATATTATATATTTTACATTATATACTGTTTATTTATAATTATTTATTTATTTCCATTCCTCATTTTTCCACAGTGGTCTCACCTTATCAGTGCACTGTTTAGAATAAACTGTATATACTTCCTGGCTCCATTTGTAAATATATTCATATATTCTATTTGTCTTTTATACTATTGGTACTTTGCACCACTGGAGTTGTCTTTTAATTTCATTGTACTTTGTGATGACAATAAAAGCATTCTATTCTATTCTATTCTATTCTATTCTATTCTATTCTATTCTATTCTATTCTATTCTATTCTAGTCCTTAGTATGATTCAAGATCAACCACAATGGATCCTACATTTCTCATGATGTAACCAGGGTCTTACACACACACAGACGCACGCACGCACGCACGCACGCACGCACGCACGCACGCACGCACGCACGCACGCACACACACACACACACACACACACCATTTTTTAACTTTCCACTGAGCTGAAGACAATCTAGATTGTATGACCATGCGTTTAACTGACCTGTGTGTGTTCGTATGTGTCCCTGAAGCAGCCAGGGTCTGGAGAATGCTTTGCCACAGAGTTTACACACACAGGGCAGTGTGTGTGTCCTGATGTGCATCTTGAGTGCTCCCAGGCTGACGTACTCCTTATCACAGTGCTTACAACTAAAGTGCTTCTTACTGCTCCACTCACACTGGAGCTGCTTTTGTTTGGCCAGGCCCGGAAAGCTCAAGAACTCTTCATGACAATCAAAATACTCAGAGCCCTCCTGGCTGCCGTTGCCTGGTGGGACGCCTGGAAAGAGTGCCAAGAGGGGAAGGGACGGCGTGAGGAGGCTGTCTCTCCTGTGGTTTCCTGTAACACACTGGATTTCCATGCTCACTTGCGTACAGGACTCAGCTGGTTTGAAGGTTTCTGCAGGGCTCCGGCCATCGACTTCTATCGACTGGTCCAAAAAGGAGAGACGGGGGGTGTTTGGAGAAGATGCAAGGTGAAGTCTGTCTGCTCTGAGAGAGAGAGGACACTGAAAAAAGAGAGGCTGGGCTCTCTGCTGTAGCCGTGGGCTTGAGGTTGGACGAAGACGATCAGAAGAGATGTTACTGTGCAGAAGAGAGTCTTCATGGGTGCTGCAGAGGGTCTCTGTGGAGAACACACATTTGGCTTATTACAGAATGCCACTTTTATATTTTTCCAGTCTCATGCTCACATACTAAATGAATGTTGAAAGAGATATGGGTTTACTTGATCATTCCTTCTCTCTAAACTGGCCAAGCACTTGTTAAGCAACTGCTTATACAGCTCCAACAGGAGATCTTTTGTCCTACTGACGGCAACAGAAACAGGAAGTGACTTGTCACATAGGCATTCTGAGCTTGTTAGCAAACAATTGTTTCCACATCTCACTGTTATAGAACATCACCATTGATTTGGAGTTGTGGAGTTGGTGTTCCTGTTCACCTGATGAATGGGAAACATGTTTCTCTCTCACAGCTAATGTTCCACCATGTTCATCGGGTGGGCACTGTGCTTGTCAGTCGTTGGCAGGTAGTACTCAGTGGCTTTTTGACCTTTTTTGGGGGAGAAAACCTGTCTTCTGCAGCCAAGAAACAACTCTATTAAAGTAGCCTGATGCAGCCAGAACAGTAAAAATGTAGCTTTTATTATAATCATTTATTGGAGAGTTTATTATTATTATTACTTTAAAGGGCAACACACATCAGTACCATCTTGAAAAGGAACAACACATCAAAATACACCACTGTCCTATCTCTCAGACGCTACATAAATTCTACAACAGTCTTTGCTGATCCTTGCTTATGTTGTGTCTTGGCACTCTGTGGAAAAATACATTCTACATTTAAAGGGTATGGCAATATAGTTTTAAAAAAATCAATGCTGTACCTTTACAGTGTTATCTTTGTTGTGTTTGGGCAACAATCCCAAATGGAAATACTAAAGCTTAGCGATCAACTGAAGCCAAAAGAAAACTTTCAATTTGATTTGTGGATGTATATGCGCCCCCGTTACACTATAAAATAATTTCCTTGTGGACACTATGGACAGGTCCAATGATTAGAGGGACTAATAATTCTTTTTAACAGTGATAAGGTACAAAATCTGGCAACTTAACCCTAGGCCCTGGGCTACTTTCAGGGTAATTTCACAACCTTCACTTTAAGCTCTTGTCGTGGTCATCACAAGAGGTAGCGATACGTCCATCCATCCATCCATCCATCCATCCATCCATCCATCCATCCATCCATTATCTATACACTGCTTAATCCTCATCAAGCCTATCTCAGCCGACTCAGGGCGAAGGCAGGGGACACCCTGGACAGGCCGCCAGTCTGCTAGTGATACATGCTGTATTTTATTTAGAACGGTAAAGGCTATCCAGATCTTCTATCATTTGATGATAATACTAATAATAATTTATATTATGCTTATTATCAAGATAAGGAAATATTTCATATTACAGAGCTGTTGTTCTCTTACATGCATCTCACCATGAATGCTGGCAGTAGAGCTTTCTTTTCATAATTGAGCTGGGGATATTTTCTGGGATCGAGAAAAATATTTGCTCAGTGGCTAACAGAATTAGCTGTCATTATTATATTCACTAGTGTTTTTACATACAGTAGCCTGCTTTTAGAGGTAGCAAACTGGGCAAATGGTTGCCTCTATCCCCAATCCCAAAAGGAGCTCCCAACAGCCACTTTACATGGAGCCCTCAAGAATTTAGGATTGCCTCTGTCTAACCGCACACTGGTGACGGGCTCATTATTTGACCACATTTTTGAAACAGATTATTTTGTGTTTACTTTTTATGCAAAGTGGGATATGATGTCAGACCGACACTAGAGAAAATGTGAAACTTGGCTGCAAACTCAAATCCAGATTACTTGGCAATACTTTGTTGCACAGAGAAACAGCTTATATCATCAGAAAAGGTAAAGACTTATTCAAGGAATGTTAAAATGGGTGAAGAACTCACTAAGATATTTATATATGTAACAAGTTTGAACTGTCTCTATAATGCGATTGCTATGGTACATATAAATATTTGAGAAACATCATTAAAGCTCTAGCTGCACTCTTTCTTCTGATATGTATTCCCTAGCTATGCAATGAGAATTTAAAGAGTGATTCAAACAAGAGTAATAGGTTTTGAGACGAACACAGAACTGTACGTAGATTGTAACTATGATTAAATTTAATGTAAATTTTTTTTTTTTTTTACTTTGGTCAAGTCATGCAGTTTCATTTAATATATGCTACATCTCGCTGCAATGAATACTTGCATATAGAGATGAAGGGATGTGAATTTTGAGGCGTCAGGCAGGTTCTAAGAGTTAAATAAGGAAGATCCTTTGTTTGGTTGTTTGACTATATACACATGTCTTGTGACTTAAAGTTACACTCATTGGCTTTTTTTTAATGTTTTAAATTATTCTTCTGGTCCTGATCAATGAATGGAACTTACAGTATGTACAACTGTGAACGGGCTGCAAGGTGGTGTAGTTGGTAGCACTGTTGCCTCGCAGCACGGTGGCCAGTTCGCGTCCCGGTGGGGGCACCAGGATCTTTCTGTGTGGAGTTTGCACGGAGTTTCTCCGACTTCCTCCCACAAGGTCCAAAAACATGTTGAGGTTAATTGGTGATTCTAAATTGTCCGTAGGTGTGAATGTGAGTGTGCTTGGTTGTCTGTCTCTAAGTGTAGCCCTGTGATAGACTGGCGACCTGTCCAGGGTGTCCCCTGCCTTCGCCCTAAGTCAGTTGGGATAGGCTCCAGCCCCCCGCGACCCTAGTGGATGGAGGACAATTGTGAACAAAAGGTTATATATACTTAAAAACCAACTATATCATGACAGTCTTGAGTCCAGTAACTCCTACAAGTCATAATTTTTCAATTAGTTAATCATTAACCATGCATGTTGCCTCTATAATACATTTATTATACGTCCTCTAGAAATATGACAAAATCTGCTGGGTCAGAAATATACATAGAGCAACTTGAATTATCAGTAACAGTTGATGTAGACAGTTTTTTGGTTTTTTTTTAAACTTTATTTTTTGCATGGCCTCTTACCTTCTGCTGAGTGATTAAAACTGACTATAGCTGCTGACTTCTCTGAGCCAATTTAAATAGGTCCCATTTGATACACTTGCTAGAGTGTATCTACCTCAAATACTACAATGAGAAAGTCTAAGGAGCTGAGTACATATCTGAAGAAGAAAATAATTGATTTGAACAAGTCAGGGCAGTCACTTGAAGTAATTTCAAATGCTTCAGATCCCAAAATCAACTGTGCAAACTGCAAGTAAAAAGTGCATGACACAGTTGTGTCACTTCCACGATCAGGGAGAAAACACAAGCTATCACCTGTTGCTTAGAGATAATCCATCAGGATGAGTGAGAGTCAAAGAAGTGTGATTTAATAGGAATGACAGAGGTCAAGTTAGAGTCTGCCAAGATAACTTGTAGAGACAGTTATTCATAGAATTGCTAAAGAGGCAAATGGAAACCCTGCAAAGGACCTTTAGGGAGATTTAGCAGGCTCTGAAGTCATGGTGCTCTGTTACTGTGCAACACCTGCACCAATATGACCTTCATGTAAAAGTCAACTACATTTTCCTGCATCCTTAAGACAAAATAAAGTGTCAGAAATTTGCAAATGAACATCTGAACAAGACTGGGGCATTTTGGTCCTGAGGGCTGATAAAGTCAAAGGAGAACTTCATGACCACCATGAACAGAGATATGTTTGGAGAAAAAAGGGTGGAGAATTTCTAAATCATCACGCTTTGGCTTTCTCTTGCAGCTCGTGACACAAGGAACATGTGGCAGTTGAGGGAAGGATGGATTCAAATGAATTGTGGCAAAATCGTGGAAGCAAACATCACAGCATATGAAACTGCAGAAGCTGAAGATAAAGAGAGGACGGCCCCTTCACCAAGACCAGGGGGTTGAACACAGCTCAAAATTCACAATGGACTACCTCAAGAAGCACAAGTTGAAGGTTTTGCCATGGTACTCATAATCCCCCGAGCTCCAAAAGCAGTGCATGCAAGACACTTCAAGAATCTAACAGAACTAGAAGGCTTCACACAAAGCATGGGTTAAAATCCCCCAAACAAGAGTTTTAAAAAAACTTTATGATTCTATATAAAGTGTTTACAAGCTGTGATACTTCCCAAAGGGGATGTTAATAGGTACTACATTACAGTACAATAAGCCAAACTATGTTGGTTGAGTTTGTACAACCTACATCATTATGATTTCTCTTACGAGCTCTATTTAGGTGGCTACATTGTGATGGTAATGGCAGTGCATCAGCACAGTGGGATGGGAATGAGGAAGTCCGAAGCCCCGCTTTAAGGGTGGTATTGGAACAAATACACAGACTGAAGGAGGGATTTGTCTGCAGGAGCCTAGAAGGCTGCTACATAGGCTCTTAAGGCTGCTTAATGGGGCCCTTTTGGTTTCTCAAGGACCTGGGAACAATGCTGATAACTCTTTAGCGACAGATTTTGCACCTGCAAAACTGAAAACAACATCTTACTTTGTCACCAGACAAATCTCTCCTTCAATGTATGCAGCGATGTTTTCTTATCTTCTCAAAAACATGTGTATTACAACATTTGCTATAATAAATATATGAATAAATATATTACAAACACAAACATATTACAAATGCAAAACCATTTTACACCAAACACTCAAAAATGTAGTTTTTTTGTAACGTCTTTGAAACGATAATCTTTGACAAGTGCAATTTTAAGATCTATACCAGATTACACCTTAAAGTTCTTGTAATTAAAATTAAATGGCATACAGGGGAAAACACTGAAATGCTTTACTGAACACATTTGAAATAAAATGATTGAATTCACAGTGTTAAGCTTAAACGTGAAATGAGAAGCGTCCTAATATATCCAAACGTAGAGATAATACTTCGTTACTTTTCCTCCACTGAGCGTTACACTTTCTCGTTTTCAAATCAAATGAGCAGCTCAAATCTTACCCGCAGCCTTCACTCCTCCGTAGCTGGTCTTCTTGGTGCTCTGGTGCGTCTTGACCAGGAAGGACCGCGGCATGCTGACCGGCTACCGGGCAGCTGTCGGCAGCGTGTCTGCGGCCCCGGTGGTCAGGTGTGAGCCAGGGGTCCCGCGGGGGAATTTCCAAATACACCAGTGTCGAGCCAATTAGAATGAAAGGACAAGTGCGGGGGCGGGGCCTGCGTGTCAGTCAGCACCGGCCAACAGAACAGGTGTATGGAGGCTGACACAGGCCTCACTATGGAAACACTTGACACCCCTGAAGCTAAGCTGTAATTCAGGCACACACGTGGACAGCCCGACCCCCACGGTACACCTACACTCTGTCTTTGCAGTATATTAAAGCATTTTGAACTGAAAATTCACTATGACAGGAGCCTGTTAGAGCTTATCCAAAGTTCAGTGCACGAGTGTATGTAAAATGAAAACAAGCAGTAAAGATGATCGTGCATTTCTGCCTTTAATATAAATGTGTTCTACAGAGTAAGCTGTATAACGTCAGCTGAATGCCTTTAACAGTGGGAGAGTCCTCTATTAACAACAGACAGAAACATTCCTCTACAGACTGAACACAAGCCTTTATTTAAAAAAAAAAAACATTGACAGGTGAAGTGAATATCACGGATGTGGTGTTGAATGACAGGTGGGACGTACAGTTGTGAACAAAGTTTCCCTGTACTTGTAAAGCCATGTATATTATGTCAGTCTTGAGTGTCCAATGTCTCCTACAACACTTATAATGACTGAATGATTGAAGCACAGTCATTGTCACAAAAAAAAAGAACAGCCACAAATTTTGGTTCTTTCATATATTAATTATAGACTCTCTGGAAATATGACAAAATGTACTGGGTCAGAAATAAACAAACAATAATTTTAATATTAAAAGTCCCTTGACCATTTTCATTTGAACTCAATGCTTTTGGAAGCCATCTACAAGCTTCTGGCTGTATATGTAACCACTCCCCTGGACAGATTTGGTCCAGTTCAACTAAATTTGTTGGCTTTTTGAGACAGGCTTTGAGACAGACTACTTTCATCTTAGTCTACGGGTTCTTGATGGGGTTTAAGTCAGTCTAAAACCACACTGTTACCCTGATTTCGCCATTTCTTTATTACTTTTGATGTGTGTCTGATTATTGTGGCCAAATAGCTCAAGTTTGGTTTCATCTGATCACAGAACTTTCTCCTTTCTTTCTTTCTTTCTTTCTTTCTTTCTTTCTTTCTTTCTTTCTTTCTTTCTTTCTTTCTTTCGTCCATGTGACCAGCAGTACACTTTAGTCAAGCCTAAAGATTTTGTTTCTAGAGGAAGGGCTTCCTTCTTGCACAGCAGCCTCTCAGCCCTTGGTGTGGACACTTGATACCTGTATTCCTGATACCTGCTCATTTATTCAGAGCTATTTTTTGCTGATTCCAAGTTGACTCTTCCCCATCCTGACCAATGTTCTCTCAGCAACAGGTGATAGTTTGTGTTTTCTTCCTGATCGTGACAGGGACACGACTGTACCATGAACGTTATATTTACAAACAGTTGTTGGCACACATGATTTGGGATCTGTGGCCCCAAGTGACTTTCACGGCTTGTTCAAGTCACTCATTTGCTTTTTTGGATCTTAGCTCCTCAAACTTTGTCTGAGTCTAAAGAGTGTATCAAATGGGCCCTACTGAAAATAGCTCTGAGGAGTCACCAGCTGTACTTAATTGTAATTACTCACAAGAAGTTAAGAGTTCATGCCACTAAGAAAATTAGATTAACACAGCTTTCTAGATCACCAAAACTGATCATTTAAGTTGCTGTATGTATATTTTTGACACAGCAGATGTGTCATATTTCCAGAAGACCTACAATAACAAATCTATGAACAAACCAAAATGCATGATTGTTTTTTAGGAGTCACTGGAAACTTAAGACTGCCATGATGCCATAGTCTTTACAAGAAAATGCCAAGTTTTGTTCAGAACTGTATTAGGTAGTAAGTAAACAGTCTATTCATGAATTTCATGTGTTAGAAGCAGGAAAAATAGGTAGCAGATCTGAGTGACTTTGAAAAGGACCAAACTGTGATGGTTAGATGGGACAGAACATCTCCAGAATAGCAGGGGTGTGTGGGATGTTCCAGGTATGCAGTGGTTCGTAGTTTCTAAAAGTTTCAGCTCAGGAATGGCTTGAGGAACATGACAAAGAGTTCAAGGTGTTGATTTTGCCACCAATTGTCCAGATCTATCCATCCATTATCTATACACCGCTTAATCCTCACTAGGGTCGCGGGGGGGTTGGAGCCTATCCCAGCTGACTCAGGGCGAAGGCAGGGGACACCCTGGACAGGTCACCAGTCGATCGCAGGGCCACACTTAGAGACAGACAACCAAGCACACTCACATTCACACCTACGGACAATTTAGAATCACCAATTAACCTCAACATGTTTTTGGAGGGAGGAAGCCGGAGAACCCGGAGAGAACCCACGCTGCACGGGGAGAACATGCAAACTCCACGCAGAAAGATTCCAGTCCCTACAGGGATGCGAACCGGCAACCTTCTTGCTGCGAGGCAACAGTGCTAACCAACTGCGCTACCCTGCAGCCCAATTGCCCAGATGTTAATTAAAAATCTGTAGGGTATCTATGCAATGTCCTGGAAACATTAGTCTAATCCAAGGAGGCCCCAACTCTCAGCAACCAGGACCTTCATTTTTTAAAGGCAGCAGCTTAACAAATGAGAGCACAGCAAAGTGGAAACAAATGGAATGAAAGCAATGTTTTAAAAACAACCAGTGATTAAGAGTAGCAGAGTGGTAAGTAGCCTATGACATGACTCTGTTGCACTGCTGTGAATTTTATACTGAATGTCCCACGTGACCTAGTTAGGGAAAGCAACTGCTGAAGTAGTGCACTTAGTTACAGTTTTGAATTACTTAACTCCTTCAACTTTAACTATGCCTTATACAACTCTGCACTACATTCACAGGTAAATATTTTTCCGTGTACATTTCCAACAGTTGAAGCTACTTTTTTAGTTGAAGATTTTACATTTTAAAAGATTTGAAGGGCCTACAAAGTGCAAAGTATGTGTTAAATGTTACATATCAAAACTCAGGTATTCTCAACTTTAGCTTGTGATTCCTCATAAAAAGAAGGGTTTGGTTGTAGCTCCGCTCTGGTGCAGCAGTTAGTTGGCATGTTTTCATTGAAATAACTGTGTAATGCACATGGGGGCAAATTTTTCAATATTTAATCAAAGTCTAAAAATATGAATCTCTGACAGAGTGTGTCATACAATATGTTCTTCCTAATCCACCCACTGTGCAACACGCTCTTTTGTCATATACTCAGATTATAGGACAAGGGTAATGTGAATACCTGTTAAATTACTCTTACCTGCAGGATCAATATATCAAACTGTAGTCTCTTACCTAACCCCAGATTCTTCAGTAAAGCACTTCATGGCAACAGAGATAACCTGTTTATTTACTGCACATCATAACCCAGATTTTATTTTATCAGTGATGTTAGGAACTGTTAGTTGAGACTATATTACATTGCAAAGAAACTATAACAATAATGGCAAAAAACAGAAGAAAGAAATGTTTATACATCCAGTGTACTGTTGCATGTTTGATATCCGAGCTGTTGATGTATGTTACGCTAAAAAAAGCCCCTCATGCTTTCAGATCACATCTGAGAACCACTGTTGTGGAGACTCAGGGTGTAACACTCAACATGCCTGGCACTTTTGTCTCTCCCAGCCTGGTCTGGGCGTGGCATTCACCTTGTACTTGGCTGGCTGGAGGACCACACCAAACTTGCCCTCCAGGCTGGGCAAAGTGTGGCCTGGTGGGAGAGAGAGAGTGAAGCGCTGCAGGATCCAGGACAGGAAAAGAAAGAGCTCCATCTTAGCCAAGGCCTCACCTAGACATACTCTGACCCCAGCACCGAATGGAAGGTAACTGGATGATGGGATGGTCAGACCTGTGCCGTCATTGTCCAAGAACCGGCCTGCAGAACGAGAACAGCAGGGTTTGCCTGATGGACATCAGTGCTGATGAACACAGAGGTAAGCTTCTCATGTACTGAGAACATGGATGGCATGGAGCTGTAAGTTACCACACAGACACCACTATTTTTCTACATAATGGTATCTATCATTCATAGAACTTTGGTTTTGCTTGTCCAGAATTTGAGATATTTGTCAAATGACAAAACAATAAAGGTGACTGTAACTACAGCAATGTAGGTCTTCCAGAATCTATTGGTTGAGATTCAGTTCAGTTCAGTTTTATTTATATAGCACTAATTCACAACATAAGCCATCGCAATGCACTTCACATAGTAACAATATAAAAATATTATATAGGGAAATTTAACGATTCCCTTGACAACAGTGTGAGATCTGGATCTTTCTATATGAGGAGAAACATTACTTTTGCTGCTTAATGCTATTTTTCAGTACTGTGAGCACTATGAATGACATGCCATTGTCTTTGGGTGTATTAAGATGAACTATCAATTCCTCAACATATTCTGCATATCACCTAAAGTCTAAATCATGTCAGGATTCACATATGTCTTAATGCTTCAGACTATTAATCCCAGTATAATGAAACTGGCTCTGACAGGTGATAACCATGTCTTTGATAGCCTTAACAGTAGCCAAACATGTCTTATTCCTTTGTACGGCCATTAATCAGAGTCTTCATTGAACTCGGTTATAAACTGACTGCAGTTATCTGTCAAAGTCCTAATGGATATTGTCTGTCAGCACAGACCTACTGGCTCCATAAATAACAGGATAAAATATGACTCATCAGACAGATGTTTTATCTCACCAGGGTCAAAGAGCTCAGGATTTTTCCATTCCTTCTCATCATGGTGCAGAGACCACAGGTTGATGATAACTCGAGTTCCTTTTCTAACTGTGAAATCCCCGAGGCTACAGAACGAACAGAAAGGTGAGCTCACAGTTACGATGTTCTCTCAGATTCAAAGTTTGCAAATTAAAATTTTTTTTCTGTGTCTGAGATGAATACCTTACAAAGCATGAGTACAATTCTCCAGAATCAGTCTGTCACTATAGCATTACACTGCTTGACTTATCACATATTGAGCGTTTGTATTGTTTCCACACTGTGAGAGGTGGATGTCAGTGAATGGCCCTGGGTGGGTGTCATGGCAGTATTGAGTGTACCTGGTGTCATTAAGGGCCACATGGGGGATGAGCAGGGGGGACACAGGGCGGATCCGTAACACCTCTCTAATAGTGGCCTCCAGGTATGGCAGGCTGCCTCTGTCATTGAGTTTGGGAGACCGGTCCCCCCCCACCTTACTGTCCAGCTCGTCCTGGATGCGCTTCTGCACCTGAATATACACAAATAGAGTTCAGTCAGAAAGATCCACATATTCTACACCAGGAGTGTAATTTGTTGTAACACTTTGAAAATGTTTCTCTATTCTTGGTTTGGATATATAAAAATGTTGTTTTCAACCTGTATTGATAGTGAACAGTTTAGAAACACACAAGGTGATCTGTATGAAGTTCACGCTGACAAACTGCATGCCCCCTCCAGCTGTGGTTTCCTTATAAGTTGCATCATTCATGAAATTTTAGAGCAGCTTGTGGGATATTTTGATTTTATCAGTGAGACATTGATGCTCTTTCTCGCTGCTGCTGACTTTGTGTGTGGTAACGCGATCAACAATTGTATCACCGGGGCATAAACATGCAGCAATAAAGCACAGCTGTCACATCGGTTGACTGTGCGTTGTTGTAAACATGCTTCTGTTTAAGCCTCATTATTAATTAAGAGGAACAATGATTTTAGAATTAAAGCACAAGTGAGGTCAACTACCAAACTGTGGAAAAAATAAATAAAAATGACTTTCTTTCCCCCATATTTTTAATAGAGTTAGAGTAGCACCTAGTGGACTATACCGGAGTTGCAACTTGAAGCACTTGTACAGTTGGTACATGTGTCAACTTTCAATTCAATTAAATTTGAATTATAAGTACAACAGTCGAAATTCATTTAATTACATTTTTCAATTCAATTGAGTTCAATTTTAATTATAAAAAAACAAAAACACAACAGGAATCTGTGACTGGTGTAACAGGTGTAGAGACAATATGGTTGTATGGCTACAGAAAAGTTTTCTATCATCCAAACAGACAATGTGTGAGGGAGAAAAGAACCCTCTTTTACACACAAGGCAACCCTGCCTACCTCTTGTACATACTGCTGCTGCTTCAACCTCACCTGTGGGTGATGGATGAGGTAGGTGATGGCCCATTTGAGCACAGTGGTGGTAGTTTCCACACCGGCTCCAAAGATGTCTCCCACTGTCATGAGGAGATGGTCATCACTGAGGCCCACAGACTCTGCACTGATCTCTGCAGTGTTGTTGTTCTCAGCGCTGCGTTTAGCTCTCAGTAGAGCATCCAGCAGGTCTCTCTGCACATGGTCACTGTAGTCTTCCTGAGAGGAGGCACCATGTCAATGTCCAGGAATCAAAGTGTACAGTATACACATGTGGACAAACTTGTTGGTACCCCTCAGTTAATGAAAGAAAAACCCACAATGGTCACAGAAATAACCTGAATCTGACAAAAGTAATAAGAAATAAAAAGTCTATGAAAATTAACCAATGAAAATCAGACAAATCATTGCTTTTGTACTGTGGTTCAACAGAATTATTTTAAAAAGTAAACTCATGAAACAGGCCTGGACAAAAATGATGGTACCCCTAGAAAAGACTGAAAATAATGGGACCAAAGGGACATGTTCAATCAAGGTGTGTCCTCTAAGTAGCATCACAGGTGTCTATAAACTTATAATCAGTCAGTCGGCCTATTTATAGGGTTACAAGTAGTCACTGTGCTGTTTGGTGACATGATGTGTACCACACTAAACATGGACCAGAGGAAGCCATGGAGAGAGTTGTCTCAAGAGATCCATCCATTATCTATACACCGCTTT